CTTGCTAAGCTGCCCCTTCCCTAGTCCTCTGGCTGGGAAGAGCAGGCTTTTGCTTGGTTGTTCTTGTTCGTGCCTGCTGGCCTCTCCAACTTGCCCCTTTGCCTGCATCCAGCCCAGAGTAAGTGAGGCAAAGGCAAACACGGGTTCGTCACCACACAGCCCGCTGGGTCCCAGGGTCACCAGCCAGTGTTCCTTCTAGTTTAACAAACACAAAAAGAAAAAAAAAAAATGACAATAGAAACAGAAAAAGCCCTGGGAACAACCAACACCCCGAACAAAAAAAAAATTCTGCCTGGCAAGTATCAAATAAAGTTGGCAAGCTATCTCCATCACAAATGCTAAAGCCCTTGACACAGTAAATAGTGACAGGTTTACAAAATATGTGGCATTTTCTTTTCATTTTTATTTATTGATTTGAGGGGGGAGGAGGGAAAGATGAAGGGAAAGGGGAGGGAGAGAGAAAGGAACATCGACTTGTTATTCCACTTATCAATGCATTCACTGGTTGATTCTTGCACGTTCCCCGACACAGAACCAAACCTGGGACCGTGCGTTATCAGGGTGACGCTCTAACCGACTGAACTGCCCTGCCAGCGCTTGTGGCATTTATAAGGACAATGACTTACAAAGCATTGACTGAAGCTGTTTCTCAAGGAGTGCCATGAATAGGCAATCCAGCTACAACTTCTTCACAGGTTAACCCTGTGAACGCTACCCACACCCCACAGGCTGGATGACTTTCTCACTGCACGCAAACCAGAAGAGTTAACTGGCCGAGGGGATCACATGTTGGCATTATAACTGTTGTTCAAGTTGGTATTCTTCCTAACCTTTAAAAAAAAAACCTTTTTAAAAGGGTTGCAAGAGTAACAGTCCCAAGTACCCTTTACCCAGCTTTTCCCAGTGGCGACATCTTACACCGCTACAGCACAGTGTGAAAACCAGGCCACTGACATCAGTGCACACTCTTTCATCCCTTGATGGGTCAGTCACACAACAATGAACTTTCTCGGAAGCTCTCCTGGCACCTGGACACCCTATCACCAAACTACAATACCAACCCGGGCTTACAGCTCAACTGAAAATTATCTATACATAAACAACCCTTACACACACAGACATATACACACCCTATATAAACATACCTACGACACACAAACACAAAAGTGTGCACCCACACGTGAACAAATATATTTAAAAACAACAGCAATCCATCCGTCTCATCCAGGTATGACTTTTCCACTAATTTCTATTTTCCCCTGCTATTACTACAGGAACATTATGTGTAAATGAATCTGAGGACTAAAAGAAATCTTCAAAAGTTATATAATGTAAAAATCCAGCCAGTGCCTGAATTCCTTCTACAGTACCCCCACCAATGACCCTTCAGCCCTTTCCTGAATGTCTCTAATGACAGAAAACAATTAAGATGTGAAGAAATCCAGTCTGCCTTTGGTCAATCCTAATTCTTAAAAGGGATCTCTAATCATTGGCCAAAATTTTGACAACTTCTAGTCATTTGGTTCTAGTTGAATCCCATAAGGATATTAACAAACAAGTCCCATCTCTTACAATCTTGGTCCCAGGAAAACCAGACACCCTGGTTTGTCCAAGATGTTTTTCTGGCATAATTAATACCTCTTTTCACCCTCAAAAGTTGAACAAAACATTATATAGTCCCCTCTACACTGCATAGTCCTGAAAAATATAAACATCATACTTTTAAAAAAAAAAAGACTTCATTTTCACTGAGAGACAGGGGAAGGGAGGGAGGGAGAAAAACATCAATGCTAAAGACAAACATCAACTGGTTGCCTCTTGTTTGCGCCGGCGCAGGGAACGAACCTGCAACCTAGGCATGTGCCCCAACTAGTTATTGAATCGACACCTTTCACTCTGCGGGATAACATCCAACCCACTGGGTCCCACCAGTCAGGGCCACCACACGTTTTTATCGGGTTAACCATCACTCAGCTCTCAGCTTTTCTGCACAGACTTGGAGGGCCTTCACTAGCCTTACCATTCTTGATTCTGAATGCACAACAGCTTATTTATAATCCAAGAGCCCTAAGGCTTAAATTCCTCGTTGCATGTATATATACACGCTCACGAAGAATCACCTAATCCCAATTAAAGAATAGATACTCACTAATTTGCCTTTGAATACTAGACCAAGTTACAGCTATGGAATTAGGGTCCTTCAGAGTAAAGTGTCTTCAACAGTGGTACCAAATAGCAGTCTCGCATTAAACCAGTAGGTGTCACTCTCTATATAATGTAATATTTAAAGTTACGGCTTCAATTTATTCATTAAGTAATTATTGAGCGTCCCTGATGTGCCAGTCAGGATTCTAGGTGCTGAGAATATAGAGATGAACAAGAAAGACACAATCTGGTTCTCAGGAGCATATGGTCTAGATATTAATGAACAAATCTACTTTCTCCATCAAAGCTTATAAAATCTCCCTGGCCAGTGAGAGTGTGGTCCCAGTACGCCGGTGCACACGCCGGTCAGGGCACAGGCAAGAAGCAACCAATGGATGTATAAACAAGTGGAACAACAAATCCGTGTTTCTCTCTTTCTAATCAATTTGTTAAAATCCTAAACCATCCTAGAGAAATTCTGTTTTCCTAATAGACAACAACACTCAAAGTAACTCACAAAGAACAAATACTACTATAATGAAACAGAATCAGAGAAACTGTGTTCTGCACAGGCCAGACTAATGTACCCTGTGTACTTTCAGCCATCTGAATTTATTCAACACTTCTTTCCCAAACTTCAAGCTTGTAAAACCCAAATTTTAGGTATTCCTCAGTACAGTGGATAGGAATTTATCTTGAAATACAATGCAAATTTTTTAAAATCAACCTACTCATGTTCTTGCAAAATAGAGGTTATGTTACACATCTTAAAAGATTATTTGCAAAGCTTAATTCCCATACATATTTGCTTCTCTCTACTTAGAAAAGTTCAATGCCAACTTCTAAACACCAAATGTATTTCCCAGGTTAACACAGTAAAGACAGGAACAAATTATGCCTCAGCAAAAACTTTAGGAATTCCTCCATTGTCTAAAGTCCTTAGTTGAATAAATCAGGACTTGAAGGTGACTTACTCCTAATCAGAGAATAGCAATGAAAGGACACACTTTGTTACAATAAACACATCTAAGAGGGGCAGACACTGTGCACCAAAAAAGTTTATCTGCCTGCACAGAAGTCCAAGAACCTAGGAACTAGTCAGTTCCTATTCTGCTCCTCAATATCCTCCATCTGAATGTTCTCCAAGTTCGAAAAGCTAGAGAAAACACAGTTAAGGCATTATTTCTGGCCCCAAAGTCCTACTGCTTAGAATTCCTTTAGTTCAAAATTTAGTCATATAGATTTGAGAAAAAAAAATGATGCTTGTAAAAATTTAATAAGACACTGAATGCTGCATGTAATATCCGAGCTAATGTTCTCTTTTGAATACCTCAAACTTTGAATTACTGTCTAAATTACCTGAGATACACGGCATACTGTTCAATTCTAGCATGGAATCTCACAAGAAGTACTCAGTGAACATTAAGTTACAAATGACCACTAAAGGGGCTTCATAAGGAGCCCTGGCTGGTGTGGCTCTGTGAACTGAGTGCTAGCCTGCAAACCAAAGGGTCACCAGTTTGATTCTCAGTCAGGGCACATGTCTGGGTTTTGGGCCAGGTCCCCAGTAGAGAATACACAAGAGGCAACCACACATTGACGTTTCCCTCCATCTTCCTCCCTCCTTTCCCCTCTGTAAATAAGGGGAAATAAATAAATAAAATCTTGAAAAAAAAAGATCTAAATTGATTTATGCCATATTAACACTGAAAGGTAAAAAAACAAAGAGTTGATCGAATATATTTCAGTTTACTGTATATGGTTTCTCAATCACACTTGTAAACTCTCTAAGGCCCAGTGTTGTTCATTGTGGCTGAGATGTCACCAAACTGGGGGGACTCAATGGCAGATATCTCTGTTATTTTGGAATTTTTATTCCAAATATAAAAGAGTGTGTATGTGTTTGTGGAAGAGGGGCTAAGTAGATTTTTTTTTTTAAGTATGGCTTTTGCCCTGGCCATGATGACTCAGTTGGTTGGAGTATCGTCTGTCCCATAAACCCAAAGGTCACAGGTTCAGCCCCTGGTCAGGCCACATGGCTGGGTTGTGGGTTCGGTCCCTGGGTGGGGTGCACACGAGAGGAACCGATCAATGTTTCCACCTCACATCGATGTTTCTCTCTCTCTCTCCTTCCTTTCCTTCCTCTCTCTGTAAAATCAATAAGCATGTCCTCAAGTGAGGATTTAGAAATAAAGGAAGGTAAGAAAGAAGGGAGGGAGGGAGGGATGGAGGGAGGGAGGAAGGGAGGGAGGTGGGCACAGATTTTGAAATCACAAAGGTTAGGCTGGAATTCCCGACCTCCCCTGAATTAGCCACATGCGTGATCTTTGGGCACATTACCTCAACTGTTTTAAATGTCACCTTCCCACCAAGATGCAAATAACAGAGTTGTAAGAAGAATTAAATTAAGTTGTCTGATATAAAAAGCCCAATACAAGGTCTGATGCACAGTAGGTACTCAATAAACAGTAGTTGAGAGAATGCCATCTTTCTTTGTGACTATTAGATTGACTATACCAGTTAATGCTGAGCAGCTACTGACTCCCAAGTTTTTGTAACCAACAGAAGGCATATATCTTTACCCTGCTAGGACAGGTTTAAACACCAAACCCCTGCTCCACTGAATGCCAACAAATGTGCACCTTCTCTTTTACCTCCAATATATTTTGCATGACCTTACATGAATTGCTTAGATAAAAGCTTTTGCTCTTCTGCTTTTGTTATTTTAAAGTGCAGATGCATTTGAGTCATTTTCTCCTTTTGTTTCATATTCTTAAGATCCAAAGCTTCAAAGACATAATGTCAGCATGAGGTCGATTTATGACTGAACTCTTGAAGAGGCACTGAAGAATTACCTTGTCAATCACCCCAAGGACTCTGAAGGCCTTCAGCTCCTCGGCAGGGCTCCTTAGGTTCCAAGGGGGCCTTGAACTTAGTGATCCTGGAGGCTAATGAAAGATATCAAAGATTATACATCAATCAGGGAGGTACTTGAAGGAAGACTGCCTGCTGAAGCAAATGCCAGGCCAAAGGAAACTAAATTTATCATAAATCAGAGAATGGGAAGATGAAAGAAGTTTCTGTTTGTCTGTTAAAAAAATATCAAAAATAAAGAAAATCAAAAAGAAAAAGCAAGAAAAAAGTTGCAAGTAAATAAATCATAACATTGAAAAAATTTAAAAAGAAAACTTAATGAGCTGATAGCTTCTAGCACTCTAATGTAGTTCAGAACTGTACAATTATAATGAAACTTTGTAACAAGTGCATAACGAAGCCAACAATCAATCACAGCCTCATATTTACCCCAGATGGCTCAAGAGTAATTTAGAACAGAGAACTACAGAACAATGTAAAAATAGATAAACTTAGGCTGTGTAAGGCTACAAGTTATTCTCTCTTACCACGAAACTACAGTCCATTTGTGTTATTTTATAAATATACACTATGTTTTTTAAGATAAACTAGCAGATTCAAGTTCAACCAGAAGAACTGCCAGTCATGGTGAAAAATCAAGAAACTCCACCATATAACAAATAATTGCTAAATTAGACTTGTTTAAGCTAGAAAAGAGATGATTTACAGAAGAAAAAATTTTTAAATATTTGAACATCTGTGACGTGGAAAACACAATCCGTTAGCTACAAAAACAAGTCCGAAAAGATCAGTGAACACAGAAAGGCATATTTCAACACTACATACAATAAAAGAATAATCCTAACTTCTCATCCATTGATCTTAGTTTTTCCCCACCAGTAAAGTAAGACATCAGACTAGGGAACTCCAAAAACACCTCCACTTGGCATTTACAACCAGAAAGCAGTGCCACATTAACCCTTGTGTTGAAATGGTGATGCTGCAGAGGGTGAGAGGAAACACACGCTGTGTTTTATTACATCCTCAGGGCAGACACTTTGTTGTCAAAAACCTACCAGACTACCTAGGAATCACGTTGCCCCCACGAATGGAAGATAAATAAGCCTGGTTAATCAAATGTCATGAGTAACAGTTACTGAGACACCATTCTTCGTATTTCGAGTCCTTGGGCAGACCAACATCACCAGACAGGAAGCTCCTTGGGAGCAGGAAAGATGGCCTATTCATCTTTATATTCACGATGCCCAGCATGTCAGCTGAAAGGAGAGGAAGGACAGAACAGAGGGGAAGGAGGAAGAGAGGAGAGAAACTAAAAAGGGGGGGGGAGTTTGCAGAAATAAAGCTGGTGTTATTTACAAATGAAAAAATTCACTGGTATTATTTTCTACAAGCAGCACTTACAGTTGCTTTCATTTTTTGTTTGGTTTTGTTTTTCGATTCAGCAAGCAAATCCTGACTTCAATGTGCCTGAAGAAGTGATGTTTGATTTAAAAAGAAGACAACTTTTTAAAACACTTAACTTGAGAAGCAATTGGACTGGATAATCATTTAAAATTGATTTAATTTATACTTCTAGGCAATAGGCAATGTTTCAAAAATACTTATTTAATATTTCATGAGGTGCTGTACTAGATGACATTAAAAAAATACATCTCTGCTTCCCTAAAAGCTCAAAATCCTAAACGTTTTCAAGGATAGAAAAAAACATTTAGCAGGGGCTTTATGAGATATATAACAGAAAGAGTACCTTCTTTCTTAATTTACATCATTTCATCTTCATCCCTCACCATGCCGAGTGGAGTACTTACTAGAAGTTATAATGACCCCACTTCACATATAACCAAAGGGAAGCTCAGTGTCATTGAGTGTCTGTGGTCAGAAAGAGCAGTGAAGATCCTAATCTGGACCCCACTATATTGCCCCCAGTCTTTCTGCTACACGACATAGTCTGACAATTAAAAATTAATTTCCCCCTACTCCATTCTCAAGAAAGAATAAGAACTGCTTGTAATTTTGGTCAAAGAAATGCTGAGGAAAGTTTATGGAGAAAAAGAATACTTTCGGTGATGGTTTTATTTATTCATTACATTTGTCTTTGAAATACGGCCAGGTGAACCTCCCCACCTCCTACCTGTACCTTCTTATTCACTGATGTCATTGGATCTCACAGTCTCCAAAACAAAGGTATCAGTTATCCATTCAATCTGGCAATCTCAACAGCAAAGATAGCAAACCACAAAATCTCTACTGCACCTTTCCATAAATAATTACTGTGAGCCCACTCTGTGCATTATAACTAAAAAGGATAGGATATAAAACATTAAAAGGCAGTCACCAGCTTCAAGAAGTTTACAGTTTGAGGAGACAAGCCAAATACATAAAAAGTTAAATAACAACACTTTCTTAAAACTACAAGACCATAGAGACAAGTCACTAGTTAGTGTATGATAAACTGGTCTCAGAAAGAAGTAGAACTAAAGGTAATTTCAAATGCTACATAGAAATTAGGTTAGTAAAAGGGTATTACATACAGGGTTGGTAGGAAATCAGCCTTGTCGGGGAAAAAGAGTCACATCGTAGAACAGAGGAAAATACAACAGCACATTTAGGGCCAGTCAGTTTTCACAGGCCTTGAATGCCAGAAAGAAAAGTCTAACCTGTGTTATCCAGACTCTAGAAAATAAGTTTTTGTACAAGAAACAACCTGGTGAAAACAATGATTTAATAAGGTTACTTCTGCAAAGATGACAATGGTGAAAGTGTAATGGCGAAAGACCAAAGGTAAAAGTGATCATTAAAGCGCTCTTTCTACTTCCACCGCCTATAAAAGTTTAAGATCAAAGAAATGAACAAAGAAAGATCATGAAATGAAATCACCAATAAAAATCTTATATTTCTTATAAGCAGCATTTAAATTGGGTAGAATCCCTATAGATTTCTTCCTTTTTCAGATGGCAAAACGAAATAGAAATCCACGGAATTTTAAGAACAGAGAGAGATCAAGTCCAACATTCTCCTTTTCTTACATGAGAACTGAGAAGCAGCAAAGGGAAGCCATTTGTCTAAGATGACAGAACTAGGTAACAGAGAAGAGGGAATTAAATCTTACTCATGAAATAATACATGACATTATTTTAAGGAAACTTCAGCCAATGCTTTGGGAGTGGGGGAAGAGTCAGAGTATTTCTAGGCAACATGGTTGATTTCCTTAATTAAAAAAGAAGTAAAATCTTTACTTACATGCATCTGTTACTGTAACAGAAGGTGCCTAGAGAAGCAAGCAGTAGTTGTGTTACTGGTGGAAATTAGACTCTTCCACGGGCTCTCAAGAAAAGCATCCCAAGGACCCACATGGAAAAATGAGGTGTGGCAAAATGGCTTATTCTTACAGAAACAGAAGCTGCCCCCTGGGTTTCCAATGCCCCGTCTCCCTCCATCCCACCATGGAAAACCAGAGGCGGAAACAGTCAGTGCCCGGAGGTCCTGGGCCCTACTAAAGCTCAGTTCGGTCCAGCCCTTGGCTCGTTAGTGTGTGTTTCCAGCTACAGTCAAACTGCTGTGTTGCCGTGTTCGGGCTCCCTCCTGGACCCTGCATGTGGAGCTCGCGTAGTCAAGGGTCATGGGGCTGCTAGGGCCACACGGCCATGGAGAGAAGAGGTGTGGGCACCGTGTGAGTGTGGGTCATCGGTGGGGAGTGGGGTAGACAGAAAGAGGGGGAGAGAGAGAGAGAGACCAAGCAATTCTTTGTTCCCCTGGGATTATATTAGCTTGGGTTAGAAAAAAAACGAAGTTTTTTTCAAAATGACCAATGAACTTCCTAAGTTTTTGCAGGCTTTTCCAAAACAACCAATCAACTCCCAAGTTTTTATACCCCCTAGTTAGACTGACAGGCCTCTTTGGTCCAGCACGACCCCCTGAACCCCTCAACAATTCCGTACTGGAGCGGGGCAGGGAGGAGTATTGGTCCCCTTGGCAGAGTGATGCTGTGATCCCCCAGACTGTGAAGCTGTGGCTTCCTGGCGAGGTAAGCAGGCTTATGCTTCCAAGTTTATTAAACTCAATGTCTAAGCTCCTGTGCTCCCCTTTACTTATTAATAATCAGCTAAATACCAATGGTAACAGTTGTATGCATCCATACCAAAAATAAATACAAAGGTCAAGGAGGAGGAAGAAGCCAGAATACTGATGACCCAAGAGTCTTCAAAACCAAAGACAGCAAGTACGTGTCACTCAACTGCTCAAATGCATGGCAGACACCACTGTTAATCCCACTCTGTCTCACAACACAGTGCCCCTGGGCAGCCAGTACCTCCGGATTAGAGTTAGCACACTAGTAAAACATATGTACCCATTTCTGTTCTACATTCTCTAAAAGGCTAAGTGAAGCTTACTTTTGCTTCTGTTTTATGGGGTTTTTTAAAAGTTGCTGTTTATCCTGTCCACAGTCTTTTTCATTTGATATTATTCCCTGTTCTCAATGTGATCTTCACCTGTGCTTAGCAATCTGCTAGTGCAACACTTCTCACACTTCAATGTGTACACACATCAGCTGAGGGCCTTGTGGAAAGGAGCTTCCAATTCACTCAGTCTGGGGGACCCTAAGACTCCGCATTTCCAAAGAGATCCCAGGAGACGTGATGCCACTGGTCCAGCAAACAACCACGTTTGAAGTCAGGGCAGCTACTCTTCCTGAAATAACCTTTGTAAGTCGCCGTTACGTGGGAGGAAACCGGTAACCAAGGGCTAAGGAAACACACTACACAGAACTTACCCAGAACCACACACACTGATGTGGGTCACCCCACATCAATTACCCTAATGGCTAACTATTCCAGTCTCTGAACTTGGCTTCATCTCTAGATTTTTGGCTTTGCAATGACATTCATTAGGTTCCTACTAACCCTCCATACCCAGGCCCCTAAGCCTGTCTCAGGTCATATTACAAGCATAGACTCGTCACTGTGGCCCAAGGACTGACTTGGAACACCCCTGACCCGCCAGCTCTGCTCCGCCCATGTCTACCTAAAAGTGACACAATACTTAGTTTAAAATATTTTTTCTAAAGAATTGAGAAATACCAATAATACCAGTAAATAAAAATACACAACAGAAAGCTGTTTTCACTATTATTATGGTAACTGTATTCAAAATCTACAAAACATTCAGGAAAGGCATCCATTCCACACATTAATATTCACTCACATCTTGTAATGCATGACAAGAAAATGTATTTACACTTTAGAAGTGACACAATCTTTGATGTCCGAAATTTAAACTATTTACTGTCTTTTTCTTTCATTGATCTTGAGTTTAAAATTCCTAGAGCTAAAAATAGCAAAAAAGCTATGCCCACTCTTTTCCAGGGAAATCCCCTTTTAATATTAATTCTTAAATCATTCAAAGTCATCTATAATTTAATTTTTTTTAAAGTTTAAAAATCTGTCTCCTTCAATTAAGATTTCACCTTTACTTCAACCACAGATAATTTCCTTTTTTTTTGAAACCTGTCTTTTTTTTTTTCCTGGAGCCCTTTAGTAATGAAGTAATGAAGAAAAAAAAAAAAAACAGTAGGAGAGTGCTTCTGTTCCTTTCTACCCTTCTTTGAAAGGGTATTACCAGCAATGACTAGGGAATTCAGAACTCTGTATTTACCACCTATGAGTATCATAAATAAATTCAATAAAGCAGAAGCTTTAATCATCACAGAAAACTCAGGTGGAGTGAGTCATGACCTAGTCTGCACCAACGGGAAAAACAGCAATAAAAAATTTTTTAAATCAGAAAGGATTCCTGTATTTTCTTTAATCAACCAGGCTGAAAAGAAATATTTGCATATGAAATCAAAAGAAAAATAATATCTTCTTTATGCAGCATTTGAGAGCTAAAGGGGCCTTAGAAATCATTTATACTAGTTCTTTCATTGTGTCCATTGAAGTTGAGGCCCAAAGACAGTTAAATGGAGGCAAATAATGAATTCATCAAGCTTAAAAAAAACCCTCTAGAAGACATTTAAGTTGAATTTTAGGTAAGAAAATAATCAAGCATGTCCCTGACCTAAACAAGGGCCAGATTTAATAGAATAAAATACAAAATGAAAATAAAAAGTAATTGTTTACTATAAAAGAAAGACATCTTGCTCTAGCAAGAAAAACTCTCGTCTTCTTGCCTAAAAACTGAAAAAAAAATCCTAGTACATTAAATCTGGTACCTGTCTTTACCCTTTCTGACCCAAACTGCCAGTATTCTACATGGCTCTTACAATTTTCTCTTTTATCTCCTCAATTAGGTACATATTTCGGGTCTTCAATTATGTTACAGGGTTTGCAAGAGCAGAAGCTGTCACCATCTTTTGCATAACTCCAAAATATGTCTAGTTTGCTTTTGTATACACACAAAGTCTGAACAGATGCTCAGGGAATTAATATATAATCTAACACAATCAACTTGTCTGTATTACTATATCTCTTCAGTTTTATTTCCATTAAAAGCAATGCTTGAAGGGAAATTCTGACTGATATACTCCATGGTTCCTTTCTCCAAGTCAAAAGCAATACAGTAAGCGTTAGATACTTCTTTTCCTAATAAACTATTGCTCATAAAAGTGATTATAAGGAACTCTAACAGGAAATGCATAAGTAGAGAGTTTGAATGATTAAGTACAGGTAGAATATTCAAAGTTAATGTTAATGCAAAGGACAGAATGCTGGAAATTTTGACTTCCTAAAACTTTTAGAATGTTTACATGTAAGATGCAGTTAATAAAACAAGTAAGTTCATACAGACCCATCTTATTTAATACTTTTATCAATGTCCTCAATACAGAATTGAGAATGTGCACATCGGGACTGCTCACCTGGGGGACTGCCAACCCCGTGAACAGTAAGAACTGAATTCAAAGTAATCCTTAGATAAATATTTCATTTTAAAGAGATAAAAATCAATAGTGAAGAGTTAAAGGAATTAATTAAAACAACAATGATAGAAAACAGGAAAAGACTGGCAAACAATACAGACGAGTCACAACAGTGAACAATCTGAAACCGAGTCAGCAGATATATTATTTAACACATATGCATTATGTTGAACAAGTCACAAACGTACATTACTTCCAAGCTGGAACATAATCTTTTTGTTCCAGAAAAAATGGTCCAGTGCTCAACAGAAAACTCACTAATAAGTACACTTTTGGTAACAATGTTTTAAAAGGTCATTTCACAGAAAATGAAAAGGGCTCAAAAAATCAGCAACAGACTTTGAATGGTCCAATGAATCAAGATTAAATATTGGGTTATTTTTAACTAGAAAACTGAGATGTTTTGTCATTTTTCAAAAGGTGTAAAAAGCATTAAAAACGTTAAGAAAGATACTTATAAAGCAGTATACAAAGGGAGATAGAAAAGGAGGCTAAAACCTATTCATCTAGTCATACACGTTTGGCTTATAGGCTGGTCTCTTTACAAGGTGGGTACCTGATTTGTATTTACGTGTGTGTGTGTGTGTGTGTGTGCGCGCATGTCCATTTTCTGAGTGATTTTCCTTAAATTCATTTAATCCTAACAAGAACCCAGCAAAGAATAAAAACCCTCGTTGACCCTTGTTGTTCAGATGTAGCAACTGAAGCTAAAATGTAGTGACATCTCTTGTCCAATCTTCCATGGCTTCAAATGACAGAGTTGAGATCTCAACAAGACTGCCTGCCTCTTAGTTCAATTAAGAAAATAAATACTTTCTCCCATCTCTAGAAGACAGGATTCTTAAATTGCATCAGAAAATAATCTGGCCTAATATCAAGAAAAAGAATTCAAAAGTTTTTTCCAGAAATGTGCCAAATCAGATAGATATGATATAAAAACAATAATAGCCTTGGCTGGTGTAGCTCAGTGGATTGAGCACGGGCCCGTGAACCATAGGGTCACTGGTTCCATTCCCAGGCAGGACACATGCCTGGGTTGCAGGCCAGGTCCCCATTTGGGGGTATATGAGAGGCAACCACAAACTGATGATTTGCTCCCTCTTTTTCTCCTTGTCTTCCCCATTCCCTAAAAATAAATAAAATCTTTAAAAAGAAAAAGAAATGAAACAGTAATAAACCACAATGTTTCTAATGCTTCAAGCATTCGCCTGCCTTTGAGACAAGACTATGGGCACCCCAAATAATCTAAATATCCTTGTTAGAATTATACCTTTATCATTCTAGGTGATCAATTTATACTGAAATGAGTAGTTTTAGCATGAATCAATAAAACTGTCCAGGAACTGTATGAGAATCACAGCTTTGAAAATTCCCCCCAAAATTCAGTATAAATGAGATATTAGGAGTAGAGCAAGAAACATAAACAGCTGAGAAAGAGAAGGAGAACACAAGTCCCATTTTATCTCACTTTTGGTGGTTTGCTTTAAACACTGTTCTTTCCACCAATAACGTAAGAAAATTACTGATGAAATTCCAGAGACGAAAATTCTCAAACACTGTAATTAGAAATAAAGCTGAGAGACCGGACAGCAAAAATGGCTAAAGAAAGTATAAGCACAACACAAGACATACCTGGGACACATCGTCAGACTGAGGTGTTCTGTAGCAGCTGGACAGACTCTCCGCTCGCATGAGGTACTCGGCTGTCCTTCTCTTCACAGCTTCCCGCCGCGTAGGGCTTGACTCTCCTAAAAGGAAGAAACGAACCTCAGGGCACGGGAAAAATAAATAAACCCTCTTTTATCCAACCTGAAGATTAACGTCCTGTTACCCAATGCACCACCTGTTCACATTTCTAACTGAAAAGAAGAGAGATTCAAAACTGGAGCATACATCAAAGTTATTAATATCAGCAAGGTCTAAACATTTTTTTTATGTTTCAACTTCAGCTGACATTCAATATTATTTAATATTAGTTCCAGGTATACAGATGAGCGGTTAAACATTTGTACAGTTTACAAAGTGACCCCCCCAGTATGTCTAGTACCCACCTGGCACCACATGTATTTATTACAACCTTATTGACTATATTCTCTATGCTGTACTTTACATTCCCAAGCAAGGTCTAAACATTACCTACATGAATTTTATTCATCCAAATCCTGAAATTCTCCTATTGAAATATGTATATAGAGAATATATTTTATAGGAGGAGTCGCTATGTAAGAAATACAGTGTAAGCAGTTCCGCAGATAAAAGACTAGCCTCGCTCAAAGAGTTGTCTAACTCAGCAAATAGTCCTAAATGCAACATGTTTAATAAGAGCTACGAAATGGATATGACATGCTACAAAAGTACCACCAAAATGAAGAGTAAAATTAGGATAACTCTCAACTCTTAACTGATTTTTGTAAGCTCCATGGTTTTTTCATTAACAAACTGCCGCTCCTCTTACAACTGAAAACAAGAAATCCCTGTAATACACAATTATGTGAAAGTGACAAGTCTTTTGTTTACCCTCCCTGGCTCTCAGTTTCCCTCAACAAAAGGTATTCAAAGTTGCCTCCAAAAAACTCACAACTCTGCTAAAGAGGCACTCCCACCGTGGAGTGCTGTGCTGCCTTTGAGAACCACTGTGCTCGGGTTCCGGAACCGGACTGTGCTCTTTCCGGTTCCTTCCTAATATTTCATAATAGTCGTGACTCATTTTATCAAGCACTGAACACACAGGGCTGTTTTTATAACTGACCCTATACATCTTCTGAATGAAGTCAATCAAAAAGCAAGTACATGTGGCAGAAAGTGCCCTGGGTGACATTCCAGAAACCCTGGTTATCTGAATTCTGGCTTGGCCTCGCACCAGCCAGCCACGTGACTGGGGTAAGTGATCGCGACTCTCGGAACCTCTTCTCACTCCCTCTGATGGAAATTTACACTTCTAACGACTGTGGCGATTAGTGGGGCCAGCGCACAGACAGGTGCAGCGGCAGAGATGGAAATAAAGCAAGCACTGAATTTGAAAGGTTTTCATTCTTAACTTTTTTCTCAGAACCAAATTCTGTAAAATAATGTTACCTGGTTTGCTGAATTACAGTAAAGCTGACATCTTCCCAAAAAAACTACTAATGGGAAAAAAAAAAACTCTGCTTACTTTTGCCTGGAACAGCATCTCTCCTTTTTCGGGAAAGGCCCCTATGCTCCCCCTCCTACTGCTCTGCCTCTCCTCTCCCCACCTCCCACCACCAACCCTTAGCAACCCAGTTTGAATGAAAGCTGCCATCTCGTTTCAGATTTCAGTCCCTCTAGTCACAAGCAGTTAGCCAAGGGTAGGAGCTGACCCAATCACAGAGCCCCATCCTCTTGGCCACAGCTGGAGAAGAAAGGAATAGAATCAGCCCTTCTCCGTCCTTGACACTGGGAATAAGAGGAGTGGGGCACACTGGTCTGGCCTCCACACAGGCGTGTGTGCCAACTTCTGCCCCAGCTAGAAGCAACCCTGCAGACTCACAGGAAGGGACCTAGGAGCATGTGGGACACAGACGTGGGCCTTGCTCCCAGTCCCTGACGGAGAGAAAGGAAAAGCCGCCAAGGCCGGATGCAACGTGCCCCCAGGGCCTGACTCAGGAAATCACAAGATGTTGGCGTAGGTAACACAGCTCACCTCCTGGCTTGCCTCCTGGCACAACCACAGCAAAAATTACAACTAAACTACAAACCAACTATCCCCCAGAACCGTCAGAAAATCAAGCTCTATGGAAGTCCAACAACCAAGAAATTAAAGAAATCATACCCATCCAGATGGGTAAGAGGGGTGGAGACACAGAGACACAGGATGGGTGGTCCCGTACCCACGTATGGTGGATAAAAATGGGGAAGGACACCTCAGGAATGAGGGATCCCAGCACCACACCAGACCACCCAGCCCAAGGTTCCAGTGCCAGGTTAAGTCCCCATAACTTCTGGCTGTAAAAACCAGTGGCAGTTGGGGTGGTGGAAGACACTGTGAGTTTCTCAGGTGGTCTGTCCTCTTAAAGCAGAGTCTCCAATCTCTGGACCGTAATCTGGTGCTGGTCCGAGCCTGTCAGGAACCTGGGAACACAGCAGGAGGTGAGCTTGAATGTAATGCGCTTAAATAATACCAAAACTATCTCCCCTCTCCCTAGTCTGCAGAAAAATTGTCTTCCAAGGAACTGTCCGTGGTGCCAAAAAGGTTGGGGACCACTGTCCTAAAGGGCCCACAATGGACTTAGCACTTACACAGACTCAGTACCCCTGGGCTCCAGCACCAGGACAGCAGCCGGAAGGGCACCAGTGGCACATAGGGAGAAACTGAAGTGTCTGGCATCAGGGTGAGTGCCAGGGGACAGCTTCCTCCTGGACAAAACTCCAGAGGCCAGACAGTGGCCGATGTCCCTTTTCTAGGTCCTCCCCCCAACAGAGCTACAGAGCAGCAGCAACACCATATCTGAGACTCCATCAACCTGGTTCACAGGGGTTGCCTCGCATTGGCAATTACCTAAGGCTCCATCTCATCCAACTTACAGGTACACTTTTCTGCAACAGGCCACACTACTAAGCCAGGGAGTCAAAGCTGCCCTGCCTGCTACATAGAAACAAACACAGGGAGGCTGCCAAAATGAGCAGACAAAAAAAAAAGACCCAAATGAAAAACAGAACAAAACTCCAGAAAAAGAATGAAACAAAATGGTAACAAGCAATCTATCAGATGCAGAAGTCAGAACACTGCTTAAAAGGATGCTCAAGGAACTCACTGGGTACTTCAACAGCATAAAAAGACCCACACAAAAATGAAGGTTACACTAAGTGAAATAAAGATAAATTTACAGGGAATCAACAGTGGAGTGGATGAAGCCAAGAATCAAATCAATGATTTGGAACATAAGGAAGCAAAAAATATTCAATCAAAACAGCAAGAAGAAAAAAAATAAGAATTGGGTAAGGCGCTTCTGGGACAACTTCAAACGTACCAACAGGAGAGTCATAAGGGTGATGGGAGTAGAAGAGAAAGATCAAGAAATTGAAAATTTATCTGAAAAAATAATAAAAGAAAACTTCCCTTATTTTGGTGAAGGAAATAAGACATAGAAGTCCAGGAAGCACAGAGAGTCCCAAACAAGCTGGACACAAAGAAGACCACACCAAGACACACCATTTTAAAATGCCAAAGGTTAAAGATAAAGAAAGTATCTTAAAAGCAGCAAGAGAAAAGCAGATAGTTACCTACAGAGTTGCTCCCATAAGACTGTCAGTTCATTTCTCAAAAGAAACTTTGCAAGTTAGAAAGGAATAGCAAGAAGTATTCAAAGTGATAAAAAGCAAGGACCTATATAACTTAGATTATTCTACCCAGAAAAGCTATCATTTAGAATGGAAGAGCAGATAAAGTGCTTCCCAGACAAGGTAAAGCTAAAGTAGTTCATCATCAATCACCAAGCCATTATTATGTGAAATGTTAAAGGGACTTATTTAAGAAAAAGAAGATCAAAACTATGAACATTAAAATGGAAATAACTTCACAACTATCAATAATTGAATTTAAAAAGCAAACTAAGCAAACAAGCAGAACAGAAACAGAATAACAGATATGGAGATCACTAGGAGGGTTATCAGTTGGTGGGGAGGAAGATTGGAGGAAAAGGTGCAGGATCAAGAAGTACAAATTGGTAGGTACAGAACAGACAGGGGATGTGAAGACCTGTGTAGGAAATGGAGTAGGCAAAGAACTTACACACATGACCCATGGACATGAACTAAGGGGGGACTGCTGGAGAGAATGGGGTCATACTGGGTGGAGGAGGGCAAAGAGGGAAAATTAGGACAACTGTAACAGCATAATCAATAAAATGTATTTTTAAAAAATACACACACACAAGAAATAAGAAGAGTGGGAACCTCAGCAGCCATAGTTTCTGCCAATGGGCAGAGAGCCAACCTGCAAGAAACCTGACTGAGAGAAGCAGGTTTGAAAGTCAAAGAAAAAAATTCCCAGTATGACTTGGGGTCCTGAGTTTCAACTGAACCTATGTTCCTGCCATTCTCTGCATAAGGTAGTTCAAACTGAGATTTTTCACATGCAAACCAAAGAACCCTGACTAAATACAGACCTCAAAGAAAAAGTACAATGAAGTTCTTATTGTAATTTTGCTAAATAATTTGCTTTCACAGCTTTTACATTACTATTCCATCTATTCCCTTCATTATGAGAAATTCACAAATATAATCAATCTTGGTGAAAGGAAAAAAAATCTCTATTGCCTTTTAACTGTGGAACAATCTATTAAACCTGAATCTACTCACCTGAAACCTCAATAAAAAAAATAAGAGTATGCGTCCTACCTCTGCCCTTAAAATTACTTAACTTCAAAACCTGAAGTTTTTTTCTCAGTTGAAGAATGGATATAATCTATAAAAATCACCTAAGTATAACATATGTTGAGGATACAGTTTATCACAATAACAAGAAACATTCCCCATTCTATACACAATTAGCCCTTTTGTTTTGAGTTTGCTGTTTGTGGGCACTAACATTATCATTAGGTCTTCTCACTTCAGGTTACGCCTTTTAAGCCCCAACTTAAATCCTCATTTAGAACTTCTTATTCCTCTGAGGCTCAACTCCGACAGAAACTGTGGCCATTCAGTGTTTTCATTCAGGGTGAATATGTTTTAATAAAACTTCTAATGTTGCTTGATTTGAAGACATCAACTTGTCTCCCAAAATAATTTG